CTCGGTGTCTCAACTGTCAGCAGGTTAAGTATGAGCATCAGAGACCGGGTGGCTTGCTTTAGAGATTAGATATTCCGGAGTGGAAGTGGGAGCGGATCACCATTGACTTTGTAGTTGGGCTCCCACGGACTTCGAGGAAGTTCGATGCTATTTGGGTTATTGTGGATTGGCTGACCAAGTCCGCTCATTTCATTCCAGTTGGTACTACTTACACTTCAAAGCGGCTGGCTGAGATTTACATCTGAGAGATTGTTCGCCTGCATGGTGTCCTAGTTTCCATCATTTCAGATAGGAGCACTCAGTTTACATCGCAGTTTTAGAGGGCAGTGTAGCGAGAGTTGGGTACTCAGGTTGAGTTGAGCACAACTTTTCACCCTCAGACGGACGGGTAGTCCGAGCGCACTATTCAGATATTGGAGGACAAGTTGCACGCTTGTTTCATTGACTTTGGGGTTTCATGGGATCAATTCTTGCCACTCGCGGAGTTTGCATGTAACAACAGTTATCAGTCGAGTATTCATATGGCTCCGTACGAGGCTTTATATGGGAGGAGATGTAGATCTGTGGTTGGATGGTTTGAGCCGGGTGAGGCTAGGCTCTTGGGTACAAACTTGGTCCAGAATGCATTAGATAAGGTGAAATGGATTCAGGAGCGGCTTCGCACGGCGCAGTCTAGGCAGAAGAGTTATGCGGATAGGAAGGTCCGTGATGTATCTTTCATGGTTGGGGAGAAGGTTTCGTTGAAGGTATCACCCATGAAGGGTGTTATGAGGTTTGGGAAGAGGGGCAAGTTGAGTCCCCGGTTCATTGGGCCTTTTGAGGTGCTTCAAAGGATTGGGGAGGTGGCTTATAAGCTTGCCTTGCCACCCAGCTTGTCGAGTGTGCACCCATTGTTTCATGTTTCCATGCTCCGGAAGTATTTTGGGAATTCGTCCCATGTTTTGGACTTCAGTAAGGTTCAATTGGAGGGTGATATGACTTATGATGTGGAGCCAGTGGCTATTTTGGATCGCCAGGTTTGAAAGTTGAGGTCAAAGGATATAGCTTCAGTGAAGGTGCAGTGGAGATGTCAGCCTGTGAAGGAGGCCACCTGGGAGACCGAACGGGAGATGCGGAGCAGATATCCACGCCTATTCGAGACTCCGGGTATGTTTCTAGACCCGTTCGAGGACGAACGGTTGTTTAAGAGGGGGAGGATATAACGACCCGACTGATCGTTTCGGGAGTTATAGCACCGTTTCCCCTATTTCTATTTTCTTTATGCTCTTAAGCTATATTATTATATACCAGGTTAGTTGGTTCGGATCCAGAGTGGTTTTGGAGTGGAATGAGACACTTAGTCTCTTATTTAGAACCTTAATTTGAAAAAGTCAAACGGATGTTGACCTATATGTAAACGATCTCGGATTTGAATTCTTATGGTTCCGTTAGCTCCGTTAGGTGATATTGGATTTAGGAGTGCGTTCGGAATGTGATTTGGAGGTCCGTGGTAGAATTAGACTTGAATTGGCGAAATTGGAAATTTGGCGATTTTTGGTCGGCATTGGAAAATTTGATATTGGGGTCGGAATGGAATTCCGGAAGTTGGAGTAGGTTTGTAGTGTCATTTGTGGCATGTGTGCAAAATTTGAGGTCATTCGGACGTGGTTTGGTTAGTTTCGGCATCAGATGTCGAATTTGAAAGTTTAGAAGTTCTTAGGCTTGAATCCGAGGGTAATTTGGTGTTTTGATGTTGTTTTGAGTGATTTTAAGGTTCGACTAAGTTCGTATGGTATGTTAGGATTGGTTGGTATGTTTGGTTGAGGTCCCGGGGGCCTCGGGTGAGTTTCGGGTGGTTAACAGATCGTTTTTTGGACTTTACAAAATGGCTGATCTACTGGTATGAACTTTCTGGTTTCCTTATATGCGATCGCGTGATCAGGTTCGCGATCGCGTAGGCTTATTTTGGGGGAAGAGGCAAGTTGTTCTCTGCGATTGCAGAGTTGGACGCGATCGCATGAGTGTGTGAAATTGTGCTTCGCGAACGCGTGGCCAGTTCCACATTCGCGTAGAGGTATCGAGCTGGTGAAGAGGCGAGGTGAATGCTCTACGCGATCGCGTGATTTAGGATGCGATCGCGTAGGTTTGGGAAGCAGTGATACGCGTTCGCGTGGGAGATTCCGCATTCGCGTAGAGTAAATTTCTGAGGGATCGAAGTTGTTCTTCGCGATCGTGAGGACATTTCCGCAATCGCGATTAAGGAAAATCTGGGCAGCAGTGTTAAATTCCAAAATCGAGGGTTTGGACTCATTTTTCATATTTTGAGCTAGAGACCACGGATTTAGGCGATGTTTGAAGGGATTTTCAGTGAGTTGATTGGGGTAAGTGTTTCTCACTTGATTTTGGTTAAATTTCATGATTTTATCTTGATTTTTATCATCTAAATTGTGATTTTGGGAGAACAATTGGGGAAAAAGTGGAAGAATTCTTGAGATGGAATTTTGAGCTTTTGAAGGGGATTTTGTTGTCAGATTTTGGTAAATTTAGTATGAGTAGACTCGTGAGTGAATGGGCTTTCAAGTTTTGTAAACTTTGTCGGATTTCGAGCCGTGGGTCCGGGGGCCGGGTAGCCAATTTCGGGTTTTGGGCTAATTTGATAGTTTTTCTTGTGGAATTCATTCCATTAGCGTATATTGATGGTATTGTACTGATTGTGAATAGATTTGGAGCATTTGGAGGCCGCGTCCAGAGGCAAGAGCATTGCGGGGTAGAGATTTGACCGATTTGAGGTAAGTAACTATTATAAATCTAGTCTTGAGGGTATGAAACCCAGGATTTCGTATCATTCTACTATTTTTGAAGTGATGCACATGCTATGTGACATGCGTGTGGGCGTGCACTGTTGGGGATTATGACTTGGTCCGTCCCGTAGCAACTGTAAAGTTGCATATTTTGTTGAAATTATATGATACTTATATGCTTTAGAAAGAGTTTCTGTAAATTGGGCTGAATGCCATGTTTGGGCCTTGTGCCAGTGCTGTTTGGACCCTTAGAGGCCTTTTCTTACTATCCTCTCACTGTTTTCGATTGAAATTTATACTCAGTCACGGTTATACTTGTTTACTGCATAACTCAGTTTTATTACTCTATATTGATGCATATAAATGTTGTTTTGGGTTGAATACCCTATTTTTACTGAAATGCCCGAGTGGCTTGAGAAGTTTATGACTGAGTGAGGCCGAGGGCCTGATTTGTGAGGATATTCATGGGATCAGGCTGCACGGCGCAACATGTTTGATATAGGCCGAGGGCCTGAGTGATTGATACCATGATTTGGCTTGATATAGCGCTTGGGCTGAAGGAGCCCCTCCGGAGTCTGTACACATCCCCAGTGAGCGTAGGTACCTACTGAGTGCGAGTACCGAGTGCCGAGTGATGAGTGACTGGGATTTAGGAGTGATTGTGAGGTATGCCCGAGTGGCATGAGTGACTGTGAGGTATGCCCGAGAGGCATGAGTGACTGTGAGGTTTGCCCGATGGGCTTTATATGAGTGATGTTTTGCCCGAGGGGCTGTTTATGATTTCATCATTTTTGCTCACCTGTGCATTTTTTTCTCTGTTTGAAAATTGTTGAAAAATATCTTTAAATGATTTTTTTACTGGAACTGGGTTTAACGAGATGTTTTGATTCAAATCCTGCTTTTAAAAGCATGTGGTATTTTACTGAGATTTCATGATATAAACGTTATATGCTTTATTGCTCGTCACTACAGCTAAGTCTTTATTTATTGTTGTTACTTACTGAGTTGGCGTACTCACGTTACTCCCTGCACCTTGTATGCAGATCCAGGTGTAGCTGGACACGATAGCGGTTGTTGATTATTCTGGTTGCAGATTTTTCTCGGGGATAGCAAAGTAGCTGCTTGGCGATCGCAGCCCCTGCTCTTCTCCCTCTTATCTTCCTTTAGTTGTATTTAGCTATTTTTCAGATTATGCTAGTCTTAATATTGTCAAACAAATGGTAGTAGATGCTCATGACTAGTGACACCCCGATGTCGGGCTTTTCTTTTCCGCATTTTTGTTTTTGATTTGAACTCCTTTACGAAGGTTTTTACGCTAAATAGCCTTGAAATTATTTTTGAAATGAAAATATCGGTTTGTTTTGGAATGAGTCGGCTTGCCTAGTACTACGATAGGCGCCATCACGACAGGTTAGGTATTTGGGTCGTGACAAAAGCAACCTCCCTTAATCAGACGCCTAAGGACTTTGAATTTTAGAGATTTGAATGAAAGAGAATATTTTTTATTCATATTCTGCTGTTTACAATATTCATGGGAAAAATATATATCTATCCAAAACAGAAATTAATTCCTAAACTTCACAGATTATAGTTTCCTAATTTAGCTGGATCCTAATATCAAGGGATTTGATAAATAAGAAGAATATCTTTTTTCTAAATATCTCAACTACGTGAGGTCAATGATTACAAAAGATTTTTTAAATCTGGACAAAAACTTTAATCAACTGTTTTAAGTACCATTATTCTTGATCAACTCATCCAAGAGTTGGCTCGACTACGACATTTTATTTCTTGAAGAGTAAGTCTACAGAACCAGAAAAAGATAAAGTTTCATGATAAAAAACAAATGATCAGGCAGGTGACATTTGGAGATTCAAATAAAACTAAGATACCGTCAGGCGCATTAAAAATGTTATTATGCAAAGCTTGAACCAGTTAGTGGGGATCATGTAACCTTGATACATCAGGCAATGCTGGAAACAGTTAGTGGAGAGATCATGTAATCCTGATATATAAATGAAAGAAGTGAAAACAATAATTCAAAGTCAGAAGATGAAAATATTAGTTTATTTTTATGGCTTTGAACTTGTATAACTAAACTACGCGGATTCATTTTCTAAAGATTTAATTTCACCTTGTTAATTATGTAATCTTCCACGTCATACCTCAGTTGCCTATATATAAAAACCCTTGGATATGCAGTCAAATTGTGCAAGAAAAGGAAAAATGAATTCTTTCAAGGGTTCTAATTTTGTAATATTAGCAGTGCTCTTTTGTTTGATTCTTTCTCTTTCTGTATTTGCTGAGGCTTCGTCGAGGAACAAACATAAGCCCAAATCAAAAAAATCAACGTTTGGTGTTGGATTCTATAAAAGATCATGTCCAGCTTCTGAGGCCATTATAAGAAAAGCCGTATTCAAAGCGGTTCTGATGAATCCCGGCACTGCTGCTGGCATTATTCGCATGCATTTCCATGACTGCTTTATCAGGGTACTCTTTTATTTTCACCTTTTTTTTTTGTTAATACACACTGGCAGTATGAAATGCTTTTACACCATTAGTGTATCTTAACCGATAACTGGTACATTGCCTTCTTTTTAGGTTACTATTCTCACATTTTATGTACGGTTACTTGTATTAAACTCAATTGAGTATTTTTACACTATTAGTTTAGGTTACCTTTACTCGTTGTAGAAGGTGAATTGCCTTATTTTATAGATTACAAATTGCACTTTTATGGAGGGGTTACCTACAGATATCTACCTGATAGTGTAAATATTTATTTACATCGTCGGTGTATATATTTGTTAAATTGAATTATATTTTAGATGGCTTGAACGAGTAAATATTCTTTTGTGCCATTAGTATGTTTAAGTTGAACGTTTCTTTGAATGCTAACATGCTGTTTTCCGTTGTTAATTTTATCTTTGAAGGGTTGTGATGGTTCGGTGTTGCTTGATTCGGTGAGAGGAAAGGAAACGGCTGAGAAAGATAGTCCCATTAACAACCCAAGCCTTCGAGGGTTTGAGGTTATTGATGAAGCAAAAGCATTGCTGGAAAAAGTATGTCCGCGCACAGTTTCGTGCGCGGACATACTTGCCTTTGCTGCAAGAGATAGCGCCTTGTTCGCGGGAGGCATAAGCTATGCTCTTCCAGGAGGACGTCGCGATGGCCGCATTTCGCTGAGCTCCGAAGTCATTCAAAACCTCCCTCCACCTTTCTTCAATGCCCAACAACTTCAAGACAACTTCAAAAGAAAAGGTTTGTCACTTGATGAGATGGTGACTTTGTCAGGGGCTCACTCTATTGGTCGCACTCATTGCTCTTCCTTCTCTAATAGACTTTACGGTTTCAATGCTACACATCCTCAAGATCCTTCCCTTGATCCTAGATATGCTTCATTCTTGAAAAATAAGTGCCCTCGACCTATTAGTGACACCCAAGTTGATCCAATTGTTAATCTTGATATTTCAACCCCTAATCGTCTAGACAACAAGTACTATCTCAATTTGAAGAACCATAAGGGACTGTTGACTTCTGATCAAACATTGTTTGAAAGTCCTCTAACTTCTAAGCTGGTTTTTAACAACGTTAAATATGGCTCGACATGGGCACGTAAGTTTGCTGCTGCAATGGTTCATATGGGCTCCATTGAAGTTCTAACTGGCAACAAGGGAGAGATCAGAAAGAATTGCCATTTCGTCAACTGATTTTGGCTTTGTTTTTATTTGAAATTTCTGTAAGATTTTTTTGTTCCTTTGATTCTTCATCTTATACTATTCTGTTGGTTGTCTAATGTAATGTAAGAATACGAATTGTATCATCGAATATATTTAATATGCTTACAGAAGAGAATAATTTAAATCTGTTTACCACTATATTTGTTCCATTCTAATTTATAGGATATTTTTTTCTTTTATTTTGAAAATTTAAAAATGTTTATCACTTTTGTACAATAATTATAACTTTCAAATTTCAAAATAGTGAAATACTTACTATTTATGAGACCGACTAGAGTCTCGAAATTGGTGCCCCGTTCAAATTAATAGCCTGTTTGGTCAAGCTTTTTTTCGGGTCAAAAGTATTTTTTTTTTTCAAAAGCACTATTGGCAAAAAATTGAGGTGTTTGGCCAAGCTTTTGAAGGGGAAAAAAGTGCTTTTGATGAGAAACAGAAATAGTTTTTTAGAAGCAGAAAAAAGTAGCTTCTCTCCGAAAATATTTTTCTAAGAACCACTTTTGAGAAAAATATACTTAGAAGTAGTTTTTAAAAGCTTGGTCAAACACTAATTACTGCTCAAAAGTGCTTTTCAAATTATTTAGCCAAATACAATCTGCTTCTCACTAAAAACACTTTTTAAAAAATTACTTTTGAGAAAAACACTTCTCATAGGCTGATTTTATAAGTTTGGCCAAACATGCTATAAATGAGAAGAATAACAACTTGCTTTTGGTGATCTGAATATCTGATATGTCATAACAACAGTTATGGTGTTACAATAGAAGACAACATTCTCCAACTGTTTAGCGCGAATAAATTTTGCTCTTTCCTTTTTTCTTTACTTTTTATTTCTCCTTAATAATTTCTTTACTACTCCATCTGTCTCATATTAATAGCCATGGTTATTAAAAATAGTTGTCTCAAATTATTTGTCATTTTAGAAGTTCAAGACAAAATTGATTATTTTTTTCCTTTTTTACTCTTAGTAATAATTATTTTTGAAGATAAAGATAACACATAAATAGAATAAATATTCAATGAAAAGAGATTATATCTTAAGACATAAATAAGGGTAGAATAGTCTAATCCTTTTCATAATTAATATATTTTAAGGGACGTGTAAAAGATAAACACGACACATAATATGAGACGGGAAATAGTAATTTCTTTATCTTGATTTAGATTTAAGTAATCAGCCTATTTTTGCGCCGTTAGTAATTGGAAAAATACATAATTACCTTCCTCGACTAGTTTCATTTTGTCAATTACAAACTTAAACTTTGCATGAGTCCAATGGGTCCACTGGACTACTTTAAAGTGGAATTATTTCACCCATTTAATTTGGCTGACATGGCATAGAGAGTAATTACATACACTCTCTGTGAAACTCGTGAAAAGCAGTAAAAAGACAGTTTTGACTGAAATATTAGTAATATTGGCCGGAAAACTCAATTGTTTACCGACCAAGCTCGTACTTCAATTTTGTCGCTCCATCTATCACTCTCCTCCATTTTTTCAAACTCCTCTGTTATATCTCACCAACCACAAACTCAAATTTTTCATCTCACTAAATTTTTTTTTAACCATAGAAAACAAAATCCAAATCATAAAAATTCTTTATTTGAGCTATCGAAAATAATAGGTGTTTACCCGTAAAATGGTACAGTTGAATTTATACGTGGTTTCTAGATAAATGAACTAATTGATCCTCAAATAAATAAATAATTGAAGAGTTACGTAATACTTAGCCTTAGGATATAAACGAAACAACAGAAGCAATAATTTCAGGAATAGGGTTTTCGGGCACAACAACAAAGAAATCGAGAAATAAGAAGATGAGATTGGATTGAGCTTTGTATAAAATATAGTGTATGTTTGCCAGAAAATTCTTGTCCTTTACAATGACAAATGAGCTCAATATTTATAGTTATGAAGAAGGTCCTAGGGTCGTGCCCTTATTTAATGTCAATTATGAGGGGCATTGATGAAGATATAACGGTGAACATAAATGCAAAATTCCTTGTAACGGGTAACCGCTCTTAATGTTATGAATATTCTCTATTAAATGCTACCGGGAGAAGAGCATTATCACATCTTTATGAGCATTATTCTTCCCGGTGACAAACGAAACAGTTGTCTTCAGTTTTCAGCCATCCCTCTGTCTTGAGTTCCACGTGTCCCTTTCTCGCAGGGCCACGTGTCATAACATATTTACCCTATACAGATAGTCCCCATGCTTCCGGTGACATAACTTTGTGTTACCGGAAAGTTGGTAGAAATACTCTTTTGGCGAAAATTACTATAATTCCCTCGGAAGGCGTCTGATAGTTGATTAGACGCATGTATCTCCGCATTTAATACCCCGAACACGCGCCTTCCTATGATTCAGCACAACTTTTGCTGATTATCGAGGTAATCCTGGCCATGAATTTAGTCTCCAAAATATTTACTTATACGTATCAACTTCCTCCCTTACACTTCATAACTTTTCAAATTTCCTTCATCTAACTTGCATATTGGTTCTTCATCTTTTTTGTAATTCTTTTCAAACGAAAGACCCATTCTTTCCTACAATGGCTTCTTCCTCAAAACGTACCGGTTCCTCAAAAAGCAAGAACAAGGCCGAGGACTTTGCTCCTCCAACAGTGGGCTCCATCATCCCTAGAAGTCTTATTACCATAAAAGACTTCGAAGAGAAATTCCCTACTGCTAATTCTCATTCATGGGCCATTATCACGTATCCTTCTTCCATACGTCCTTTGAGCATTCCTGCTGTGAAGGAAGGCTGCCGCTGCCATGATTTAGAAATTATCGCTCCTGATCTATCGGAGCGAGTCACCCTATCCAATGAGGGTTTTACATATGTTTACATGTATCCCTTTACTTTGGGTGCGTTTTCTTTGAGCGGAGAGCTTGACTCCGTGATTGCGGAGTGTTGCTTCCGTTATCAGGTGTGTTTGGCACAAGTAAGTCCTTTTGTGTGGAGGAGAGTTGCATGCTTTTGGTGTTTGTGCCAGGAAACTGGAGATGAGCTAACCTTAGCTCACATGATGAATCTTTATTCTCCCAAAATCTTCCGCGGGGGAATGCTAAACCTTTGCAAGTGTGGCCACCATGATTTGTTGTCTAGCATGGATGATGACAATGACCGTGGGTGGATGGAACGGTTCGTTGCAATTGTCACTGATGACATTGTTCCGGCAACAACTTCATCCTTTCCGGTCGCTTGGATCCGTACTCGTAAGCTCTTTGTTTATTATTTCCTTTTACTAAAATTTTTTAATCGCCGTTTTGATCCTCCCTCCTTCGTTTGTTTCAGTAAGTCGATGGATCCCATAGGTGATTGAAAGTTTGGACCAGTGGGTAAAAAAGATCTTGGATATTTCGACGTCTGAGACTCGCTTGTGGAAAGAACTAGCCCCTAAATACGGGTGGAAGGCCAAGAATCATGGTAATTCAAACTCAACTTGTTTTAATTATTCATGTGAAGAACTTGAATGATTCTTCTAACCTGTCTATGAAATTAGGTCTACCCGCAGTCTCTGTTGTTGTTCCCGAAGAGGATGTCTCGGCTGATCCTGCTGATGTGGCAAGGCTGATTCAGGAGGCGCTTACTCGAACAGGTGGTTCCGGACCTACTTCGAGAGCAAATGCTTCTTTACAGAGTCCCCGACTGGAAGACAAACTACCAAAGAATAAAAGGGCGATGATCGATGCCCCCGAGTCATCTCCGGTAGCGATGGTGACTGGCCCTCCTTCTGGGCCAGTCATAGACACCGTGATGATTGATGATGATGAAGAAGCTAATGATGAGGGAGCTTCTCTACATAGAAGATGACGATCCTCATCATCTCAATAGGATGCTCAACCTTGGGGAGAATTTGATTTGGTAGATAATGTCAACTCTTGTTTTCAGGCCCCAATTGCTGTGTCTGGTACTGCGAGAGTGAGTATCGGACCATTTCCATCTTTTGTTGGCGAGCATCCAACAACCAACATTGCATTTCATATAACTGCTTCTTACCCTTCAACTCCATCAGCTTCATCTCCATCTTCACCAACACCAGCAACTGCTACATCGCTTCCATCTTCATCCATTCTTCTACCAACAATTACTACACCTTTTCCTCCGGCCGCACCTAACCACAAAGAAGATATTCCTCTTCCACAGTCCCTAATTTATGGGAATTTGGGGCAAAATTATGTTGTCCCTCCTAAAGATCCACAAAGGAGGAGGAACGTTACTCTTTCGGTCTCTACCGGATGCAACTTGTTGTCCCGGCCGGTGGACCTTTCTAATTATCTGAAGCCATTGGCTTCAGAGAAAGACTGAGAAAAGATTCAAGCACTCTCAGGAGAGTGTTTGTTGAACAATGCCATGCACAACGCCGCAACGGTATGTTCATGTGATGACCCAAAAGGTCATCTTAGGTTTTAGAACTCGATTCTGCGTTCTTAAGCCTTACATATCTCATTTTTACCTTCCTCGATTTGCTTGCGCAGTCCGGGCATGTTTCCGAAAAGCTTTTATGTTAAAAATTGATGAAAATAAGAATTTTTGCCTTAAAAGTTGAACTTAGTTGACTTCGGTCAATATTTATGGTAAATGGGCCCGAATCCGTATTTTGATGGTCCCGGTGGGTTCGTATCGAATTATGGGACCTGGGCGTATGCCTTGAATTGAATTCGGAGGTCCCTAGCTCGAGTTATGAATTTTTGATGAAAATTAAAAGTTTGAAAATTTATTATTTTTAAGAATTGATTGATGTTTGGCATTGTTAGTACCGGGTCCGTATTTTGGTTTCGGAGCTCGGTACAGGTTCATTATAATATTTAAGACTTGTCTGTGAAATTTTGTGAGAAACGGAGTTGATTTGACGTGATTCGGACGTCCAGTTAAGAAGATAGGAGTTTTAAAGATTTCTTGAAAAATTCATTCGATTTGGTGCTAAATTCGTAGTTCTAGGTATTATTTTGGCTATTTGATCGTGCGAGCAAGTCCGTATGATGTTTCTAGACTTGTGTGCATGTTTGGTTTGGATCCCCGAGGGCTCGGGTGAGTTTCGGATAGGCCACAGGATGTTTTAGACTTAAGAAAAATATGGTATTTCTGCTGTATCTGGTATCAGACATGTTGT